AGAATTTCCTGATGAGAAGGTAAAATTATTAGGGAAAGAGTATAAGGCTAGATCTGGGATCAATTCACCAGATAATATTTTGTAAAATGTATAAGAGCACTTAATAGTATATAAAAAAAAGAAAATAAGCATTCTTAAATGACCATTGTATTTGAGAGCTTTTATGGTAAAATCAATTTTCATTCAGAAATGGAAAGAGTTCTACAAGTTAAACTTTCAAAAAGAAAACGCTGTCTATTCAGTATATCTTGATATATCTAAAAGTGGGTATATTATTATCAGGTCTTCACTCACAAAGGCTTTCTATATGATGATATAATGCATATCAAAATTTGGATTTCAGAAGATATGCCCTTGTTTTTGGTCCATATTTTGGGTGTATGATTGACTATGCTTTAGTGCTCCAAAAATTGTTAACCTTATGAAGGGAGTCACATTTAACATTAGCAACATATTCTCTAGAATGGATGGATTTATTCCCTGTGTTAAATTCTTGTACTAAACAACATGCTTGTGGTTTATTATTTTTCCCAAAGTGTGATTAAAAATACTAAACCATTTAATACTGTTCTGCTAAAGACATCACTTGTATTTGTGAGAATTAAAAGAAATTTTTGTTATTTTTTTGCGTATGACCATTTTGCCTGCTTGTTTGTAAGTACACCCATGTTGTGCAGTGCCCACAGAGGCCAGAAAAGGGAGTGGGATCCCCTGAAAGTGGAGTTATGGATGGTATTTAGCTGTCATGTGGGTACTTGGAACTGAACAGGGTCCTTTGCAGGAGTAGCCAGTGCTCTTAACTGATGCGCTGTCTAGTTCTCCAGCTAGATATTTTTTTTAAAGGAGGTTCTCAGGGTAGTACTAGTGCTCTTCATGCATCTAAGATATTTTCCCTGGTGGAATAATCAGTGTTTAAAGAATAAAGGGAGAACCTGCTGGTGAGTTCTGGCCTTAAAGATAACTTGCAAATAGGATTTTCTTTTGTGATTCAAGTGGGAGGTACTAGAGTGGATGACTTTTCAATGTAATTATTACTCTATTGAAACCACATACCTGATAACATTTTATGTGTAGATACTCTCTCTGTAGGATGCATTTCTTAGATATGGTCTGTGGAACAAGTGAATCCAAATGACTAAAGGTCAGAATGCTCCTGATCTCCAAATGACCAAAAGTCTTTCTTAGTAATGCAAATCTCTGGGCTTTACACCAAGTAGTGATGCCACCTAGGATCTGTTCTTGGGTTCTTTTCTCCCTCAGGGAAAGAATTACAAGATGAGATCACAGCACACAGCCAAGTTTTGTTGAAGCACAAGCAACACTCCACACAGGAAGGGATAGACTTCCTGCATGGGGAGGGGTCCAGAGCTGGAGCACAGTCTACCGCCCCGAAGAGTATGGGCTTTTGTAGTTTATAGGTAGAAGGTGGGACAGAACTGGTCTCCCCTTTCCTCCTTGAATTGGACAGGGCAGGATGCATGTTGGTTGATTCCCTCATAGGAATTGATTAGAACAAGGGAAGGAAATTGGAAATTCCCACCAGAGGGAGCCCAAAGATGGGGAAAAAACCTGCAGAAAGGGCCAACTTTGGAGAAGAATGGGAAGTAGGCCATCTTGGATACAAGTGAGAGTAATTGGAACACAGCCTCCTTCTCTGTCTGGGGCCTCCTTCCCTAACCATTTGCCTAATTCAGAACTATCTCCTATTCTCCTTTCATAGTGAATCATAAACTGTGGGAATGGGACCAGGACTGTTCTCTTAAAATGAGTATTCCTATTTGATTCATAGCTACACTGAAGTTTGAGTATTGCTGTAGTTACATGAACTTTGACGCACAGTTTAGGTGACTGGCCAATAAGTGCAAATACAAAGTCTATGACTTACACTGTCATTGTCTTAAACACTTGATTTATACAAAACACCTGGGTTACAGTTTAAGCATGCAGAGGAAATTTGAAAAGAAATTGCTGATTTAATAAAGTAAGGAAGGAAATAAGAACAAAAGACTTATTTAAGGATGTGATAATTTAGGTATACTCAGTGAATAACAAAGCCATTAAATTTTGCCAAATATTGTCTGAACAATTTAATAACAACAACAAAAATAGTACAGCTGTTTTCCTTTGCTGTTTAATAAATCAATCATACCATTTTAATATCCAGTTAAACACATTGAATAATCAAGGCATTCAGATTGTGTGACCAGAATATATTATATACATGTATGAAATTTTCAGCCTAAATTAAACAAAAATTCAGAATCATTCTTTTCAAAATATCTATAAACTATAATTTATGGGGGAAATATAGGCATTCATTTGTAATAGGCAGGATGGAATAGCCATTCTCAAAGGCACTGACTTTCAACTCTGGCTTTACATTGTAATCATCTACAGGAAATGTAAGCGCATGATCCACAGCTGTGTTCCATTAGAGGCCAACTACCATAAATAAGAATGTCTGCAGGGTGCCCAACAATACTCTCAAATTCCTCCGTGAACCCAGGGCTCCAATCCCTTCCTCTAGGGCGTGTCCCAGACAAAGTAATCTTTAATTGACTCAGTAAATGAAATTCAGCTAGGAACAATAATCAGTGGGAAGATTGCCTGAAGTCAATGTAGGTCATTTGTCTCTGGTTTCTACCTTTAATTAAGCCAGGTAAGTAGAATACTTGTGTATTAGGACAGGATTAAAATGCCTGAGAATTTGCTTTCTGAAATTTCCCTTCTTCTAATGCCATGTGTTTATGCTCAGGAACATACAAGAATAGATTTGTGTCTATTGTTGAAGAATTTAAATCCTACTACATGGTGCTATCTTTCAGAAAACACTTGGGAGCTAATTTTTCTGATCTTAATATTAGGAATACTAAATATTTAATAGACTCATGAATGATGCAAGTAATCAAGTTTTATTTAATGAACTACTAGTAATTCTGGAGTGAAGTTTGTTCTCCATGATCAGGTATAATGGAAATTACTCTTGTGTCAAGTGTTCGATTATAACATTTGTTTTTCCTTCTTTTTTTAAAATCTGCAATTTTTAAATTAAAATTTGCCATTTTTATACAACTTGACAGTATATAGATCCCCTCCCCTATCTGCACCTCCCTTATTGCCCCTGTCTAATGTACTTTATTATATATATATAATATGTATTTTTATATAACATTTAAAAATATATATTATATAAATTATATATATATAATATATAATAAGGCCTATAGAGTCCAATTTCCATTCCCAGATGTCCTTCAGGGTGAGTCCATTCACTGGAGCCTGGTTAACCTTCCAAGAGTGCCATCTTTGAAAGAGAGCGTCTTTCTGCTTCCTAGCAGCCAATAGTTGCTAAAGTTTCCTTAGGTTGGGTTGGGGTTTTTTACCCACTTCTTGGCCATGTCTATACTATATTTTTTTCCTCTGGTTTTCCTTTGTCTTGTCTCCTTGCATTTTATCACTTGGATCTCTGCATCAATTTTGCATGGTAAAACTGTTCAGAGATAAGATTAAGTGTATATATCATCTAAAAACTATAGTAAATGGAGTTGGTGGTCAAATATTACACAATCAAAGGTAGATTTGGTGTCAGTCAACTAATCTCTTCAATTTAAAAAAGCTTGGACTGCATCAAAGCTGATCTGTATTACATACACCCTGGGCACTGAACTAATTCTGATGTTGAAATAAAAGTTTATTAGAGTGGAACATGTACACACCCAGCTGAATAGTGTTGTAATGAAAGTATTTATCACTAATTTGATGATAAAAGCAAAAAGAAATAGTCAGAGGTAGAAAATGTATTTTTCATTTGAGAAGGAAAACACAGGAATAAAAACGTGAAGCTTTTACTTGGGGATGAGGCGTTAACCTGTAACATGGAGTGTGAAGAAAAGTCTATAGTCAGAACCTCCCTGGTATCAATTATGAAGGAAAACTCAGATCAAATATGATTTTTTAACGTAACTTTTTTTGGCAAAGTATCCTGTATTGTTTTCATGACTAAACAATTCAATCTTTAATATCCCAACTACTAAGATACTGGAAATGCAAGAAGGCATTTTGATGGAAGAGGTCTAGAGTTGAATCATTTAAAAATGAGAGGTATCAGGTTCTTATTAACTTACATTGATGGAGTATTTAAAAAAGTGCTCAAAAACTAATCTGTAGTCACTGTAAGATTGCACTGTATCATTAGGATACATAGTAATCGGTAATGGGTAAAATTATTCTTTAAAAGGAACACTTTCAGTTGTGACCTACACTGATGGATTCATTTGTATATGTAATTCGAGACATGGGTTCTCTCTTAGCTCTGAGCACATTTTACTAAAATATTTACTATTTGATATACTATAGGCAAATCACCTTGTGAATTTTCAAAGAGATCCTGGCTTTATACATATAAGAATATGCTTAGCCTGGTGTGGTGGCCCATGCCTTTAATCCCAGCACTTGGGAGGCAGAGGCAGCCTGGTCTACATAGTGAGCTCCAAGCCAGCTGGGGCTGCAGGCAGACCCTGTCTCAAAAAGACCAAAAAAAAAAAAAAAAAGAAAAAAAAAGAAAAAGAAAAGAAAGTGAAGGGCTGCAGAGAGAGCACAGCAGTTAAGAACACTAACTGTTCTTGCAGAAGGCCTGGGTTTGAATCCCAGCACCCACATGGCAGCTAACAACTGTCTGTAACTCCAGTTCCAGGGGATCCAACAGTCTCTTCTGTCCTCTGCCGGCATTGTACAACACGGGTGCACTTACCTACATGCAGGCAATACACACACACATGAAATAAAAAATAATAAAATATTAAAAAAGAATACTCTTAAGGTTTTTCTAAAATGTATAGTGTTCACAAAACAAAATGTCTTTTACATTTTACACACAGCAGCACATTTCTTTGGTTGAAAAGAATGAGTTGGTTTTGCCATATCTGATTTGTGTAATTACTACAAAAGATGTATATAAAATGTGGTAAATGGGCAAAAATCACAAAATACACTCTGACAGCTAATGCTCTGAAAACACTTTATTACACAAATTACATTCAGATTCCGAAAATAGTGTTCTAGCAGTGTAACCATCTAAAAATAAGACATCCCAGAAACACACCAAATGAAGAGAAAATTTAAAAAAAGAATTTAAATAGAGACCCTTTTTCTTTCTCTCATTGCAATATAATGTTAGTGATTTTAAAAAAATAGAAGGAGATTTAGCAGCTTTGTCGTCATGTAGCACAAAGTTTCTCTTTACTGCCACAGGCTGAGAATGCTGAACAGGAAAGGCACCAAAGAAAGACACTGGCAAAGGGAGTGCTATTGGGAAAATACTGTGTTCAAGCAGAGAATGGGGCTATTTATATCCACAAGGAAGTTTCAAAATGGAAATGAGCGAACCTTCCATCCTTCGGTCAGCAGTACTATGATGGAAGGAAGAGGAGGACAGTTTCGCTAGTCTACTTTCATACAAGGACAATGGCACTGTTCTGAACTTTAGGAAACTCCTCAACTAGAGACACAAACCAATGCAACTAAAATGAAACAAATGAGAGGTGTACAGTCCCACATAGACTAGTACAGTTTACAATTAAATGCACAGAACTTTAAACGTGCTGAAGGGAAAGGAATCTGGGCATTCTTGGTAAATCTCCCTCAACCTAATCAAAGCCTGGTGTTCAGGAGGAAGGTGCCGGTGTGGGCAGAGGTGCTGAATACTCCTCTTCTGATTCACTTCCGTCATCTTCATCTTTCTCTTGGTCACTTCCCTCTGTGCTGAGGCGGTCAAACCCTTTTCTGCTGTAGCCTTTACGGCTTGCAAAGAAATTTCCAAGATTTAATCCTCTACTTCCTTTTCCTGAATAAAACAAATAACGCACATACAATTAAAGTTTATACAAATGAGACTCTGTTTCCTAGTGAACTTTTAAACATTACAAAGATGGAAGTTGGGAATAGAAAGGGGTAGTTTTTTTTAAAAAAAGAGTGGTACTCAAAGAGATTGTCTTATAGAACTAGGTAGCTATTACTCTACAGACTTATTAAAGTAAATAATGAAAAACAAAGCTCCCCAGGATTATGTGTTTCTGCAGGAATATTGCAGAGCCACTTGCCACCTTCTGTTTCTCCATAGCTCTGCAGAACTGGCAACCACAGAGCCATGCTTTACTTCAATGACTTTAAGAAAAGGTCATCACAATGACAAGCACTGACATGCCAGTAAAAGTGACAGAAAATTTACCAAAGACAAATGAAAGCAGAAGGAAAGCAGGGAAAGGGAATTAGACAAGACAGAATAGCAAAATACAAAAAAGAAACAGAGCTGAGAGATGAGCTGCCAGAGCCACACGTTTGGCTTAGCTATGGTCTGCACTCTGCATTTGCACTGGGGACACTACACTGCCAACGAGGTGTTTAATTTCCAGAGTCAAAATAGGAAATACTGCCTTGTGCTTTAAAAGGTATGAGCTTGTTGACTTTGAACCAAACATGAAGGGTTCTAAAATGTCATAGGCATACCTCTAAATCTTCCCAGTACTCTTCCCGAACTTGCCTCAAGTTTGTGTTCAGAATCTGCTTTAAAAAAAAAAAAAAAAGATGGCACATTTCAAAGGGAATCCCATCACCCTTCTCAATTCAAGGGCTCAACTTTCAACATGAACTCAAGAATCACAAATGACTAAGAAGGCTTGGCTCTGGTCTATGTGCAGTTTTAAAGAAAGAAGGCAATATATTATCAAGAAGTATAAAGAGGTCTCAAATGTTAGTGTGTATATGTATATATGAGCGTGTATATATATTTATATATGTGTATATATAAATTCATATATATGTGTGTGAATGTATATATATACATATTTATGTGTGTGTGTGTGCGTGTGTGTATATGTAGAAAGGGTGGACTCCTGCCTATTTCTCTATAAGAAACAAACTAATTCCTTAAGCTTTAGGTTTTTCCTCTGAGAAAAGAGGGATCAGTAACCATCTTACCTATCTGTGATGTACAGGGAAGATAGGGCACATATATGATGAAAGAAAAGTGCTTGGCCAATAAGGCAATAAATACTTAACATTTTATTTTTGTGTTTGTATTAGGATAGAATTAAATTTACAAAAATTTAGGAATTTGTGTTAAGCTTTACTCTTTCTGTCAAGAACAGCAAAAAAATTCTGCTTTGGATCTGTGTACCTCATTTTCCCCTTTATAGAAAGCTTAAGTGTAGGCAGAGTGCGAATCCCTTAATATTTTTCCAAGTATACAAGGTGAGCTCAGTCCTTCTCCTGTGGCTCTCATCTCCAAGAGAAATCAATTTCTCTTCTTATGGGGAGGCAGTGCTCCCAAAAGATCCCAGTTTTCTCCTTGCTGTGTATCTTCCTGAATGCTTTCTCTTACTCTCACTCTCTCAAGGGCTATGCTCAGAGAAGCTGCATTAGGGTTCATGGCAACATCACGAGGAGCACTAATAGGTAGATGGCAGAGGACAGGTAGAAAACAATGAGGAGAAAGAAATAAGGACATGAAAGTCAAACACTAGACTCAGGGGTGTGGGCATTCCTCATCCAGGTTTGTATGCCTTGGCCTGCCTTGGTGTCTGAGTGGAGCATCAGTGGGGCACACAACCAGGGTGTGTTGGATCAATGAAGGTCCTTTAAGAGGGTTTCAAAAACCTTGGATATAAGAACCAGCAAGAAAAAAAATGTTGAAAATAGGTGAGAAGCTACACTACTGTTGAATTAAATGTAATAGAACTGTATTGAATTACAATTTTCCTAAATAAAATATGGACGAATAATGGCAGTTTTCTTCCCACATAATCTTGTGGTTAGCCTTATGCTAAAGTGCCATACCACATAACCCTAATAGCAAACAGGAGAACAAGCCATCTTGACTCCTTAATCACTCCTTCTACTTTTGGCTAGGTACTAAGAGTCCTATCATGTGCCTCAGGCCCTATGTATGCCCAATATTTTATGTATTTATTATCACACTTACCATCTTCTATCATAGCTTTATATGTCATCTTTCTTTTGTGCTGCCTATTTTGTGAGTTTCATCTGCTTACCCATTTTTTTTTTCCAAAATTATCTTATTAAACTGCTAATGCCAAGAAGTACTATTTGTGTTAGGGACATACCAGTAAACATACATGTAAGATTCTTGTTCTCCTAAAGCTTTTATCTAACTACAGGAAGATAATGGATATTTTTCTTTGTACCTGCTTATGATAGTTTCAGATTCATAACTGTCCTTCTGGGGAATTACATGACATAGTGAAAAGCAAAAGGAAATCCAAGAAAAAAAATCCTTTTAACTCCTTTTAACAACTCATTAAATTGAATTCTCCATTTTTTGTTTCAATGTCTTTTTCTGTGTCAGAGCTTTGTCACAGGCACTGAATCCCTGCCATGGCTGCCCTGACCTCAATAGGACCAGACGATATTTTCTTTTCAATTTCTGCCTTTCATGCTGCTCCATAGATTCCTTCTCAGACGCAACCATAGTGTTTGCCCTTAGGACCTGGAGATCCAGTCAAAAGACTACTGCACAGAGGTAGGAAATAATGATAATATTAGTTATGTATTTTAATGTCCTGAAAAGGTCTTATACTATGATATTTTTAAAAATACTGACTTTTGGGACTGGAGAGATGGCTCAGTGGTTTAGAGCACTGGCTGTTCTTGCAGAGGACCCAGGTTTGATTTCCAGCACTCACATGATGGCTAACAACCATCTGTGACTCCAGTACCAGGGGATCTGATGCCCTCTTCTGACCTCTGTGGGTACTGCATGACACAGGTATACCTCCTACATGCAGACAACACACACACACACACACACACACACACACACACACACACAACCAAAATAAAAGAAATTAAAAAAAATACTGACTCCAGTACTGGACTCTGCCTTGTTCAGTTAGGGAAGGTTGATGGCCAAACTTATGACTATTCAAAAGTTACCAAGTGGTTTGGTGCAATCAGTGGTTTTTTGAAAAACCTGACCATTTGAGACAGCTATCTCTTAATATTGCAATATTACCAATGATTACCCTTTCCAATCACAAAAGGTATTGAATATATACTAGGTGCCAAGTACTTTGATTAAAAAATGTAGATTATTCCATTTCAATTTTACACAACTTTATATTTTATCCTCATTTTATTCATGAAGAAACTGGTTTAGAGAGATTAAGTAACTTGCCCAATGTCACACAGCTAGGAGCTAGAGCCAGTCTGATGGGGAAAGTATACAATTTCAACTTAACCAACCAAAGTACTGTGAGGCTGGGCCTGTTCCTAAAAGCAGATATCTTCTTCCTGATCTGCAACCTAATTTATACTAACTCTACACCTACAGAGTTTTCTTTGGAGTTATTATTTGAGCTAAAGCCAATTGCTAAAAAGCATTGATAAAGGCTAGATTATAACTGAGCTATCTAAATTTCAAAGGTTCCAGATGTACTTTATATTTCAACACTAATTATAGAACATTTTTTTAGACACAGACAACAATATAAAAAAAAGTTGAAGGCATATAAACCAAACCAAACAACCAAACCAAACCAGACACTTGAAAAAACAAAAACAAAAACATGATGCAATTCCTAATGATTATTAGGCCAAACATGCTTTCAAAAGCAGGTTCCAAGTTCAAGGGGCTCATTTTACTTGCCTCCAAAGGCCCTTGATTTTTTCCACCGAATAAATATGGCAATGGCCAGCAGGACAACCACCGGAATAACCAGAAGGGTTGTAATGAGAACCACGGGCACTCCCGAGCCTGGCTCTTTGATCAGTTTCTGTTTCTCTTGCATCTTCTGCAATTCTGAGGAGGTGGGCTTGTTCTCCATTTTGGATTCAACAACTGCCTCCGCTTCTTCAGGAAAAGAAGAGTTCATAGTATTCAACTGATTCAAAGACTCCAAAACCCTCTCCCACCCCTACCCAGTCATATCAACAACTGTCCAAGAAGAACATGCTGAGACCAGTACATGAAGGATCATGTTTCAATGTGGGCATCTGCAAAGTTGAAGATGGCTATGGTGATCACTATATGGTTTTCACTTTCCAACTGGTATTCTTTCATCTGCTTTAATTGCCTCTTTAGCTGTTAGCTCTGCAAAATACCATCCTTTTGCATTTTTCCAAGGTTAAAATCACATACTGCATGGTGTAGAGAAAAGGAATTGGTATACATACTGCAGTTAAACAAGCTCGAGTTCAGGTATACTAGCTGTATAATTTTGGGCAAGTTACTTAAATTATCTTAGCCTTTGTAATTTTATTTGTAAGGCTGTGATAATACCTCTTTCATAAAACTGTTGGAGTTAAATGTGTGTCATAAAGATGGTCCTTAATAAATTTTTGGCTCGTAGTGCCTTTAGTTTATGAATCACTTTCATGTTTGGTGAAGTTCTAGTACTCTACATATATAGTTATAGACATTAGTTATAGGCTTACAAAGAGGAAAAAGCAACTGTCTTTTTGTGTTTTTTTTATATAGTTCTCAGAAACCTGTAAGTGCCCATAAATGCAATGTATGCCATTTTATTGGTGATGGGAGGATGATGTTGGCAGGAGTTAGGTAAGTATCAGGCCTAAAGTACCACTGAGAAACGGATCCAATAAAACTCCAGAAGCTACTACAAGGGTTACAACACCTGCAGACTTGAAGATGAGGTCAGGCCTTAAGACAGTCCCTGTGGGTGTTTATATGTAGAAACCCTAATGAGCAACAGTTAAGAATTTAGCCATGCAAAAGGTACAGTCTTGTATGCTAAAAGACTCACAAGGTTTCTGGAATTTTGATTTCTCAGTGTATCCTTCTGCCCTAAAATACAATGTAGAATGCACAATACAGAGAACCTCATGGAGACTGACAAATTGGCTAGGAGTGATGGCTCAATATAGTCAGGGAAACTGGTTAATGTTTAATATGTGTAGACTTAGTGTAGTAGCTTGCTGGACAAAATGTTTCTGAAGTTACTCAAGACACTACACATAGACCTTATTATATAAACACATGGCAGTTTAAAGGTTTAGCTTCGATAGTCTGAGCCAAGTCAGCCCCCTTCAAGAGCTCAATGACATCTAATGAGCTCTGGTTCAAATTTACCTTTCCAAGTCTTACTTTTCAAGGGGAATGCACATGGGATTCCTAATCTTCCTGACCACTGCTCTGTCATGTTCCTTGCTGCCATAGAAAAAATATATAAAATTATTCTACATTTAAATTTGTTTCATATTTAAGCAGAAAAAAACCTAACAAATTGGATCCTGGGAGTAAAAACATAAGCCAAACATGTATGCCGATATTCAAGAATTTCCTGCCTTTAGAAGAAAGGTCTGCTTCTAATTGATGACAGTATACACTACTAAAATTATTAGCCAGTGTTTTCTACCTGTTACTTCCTGAGTTTATGTGACCTTTGTACAATGGTTTTGCCAGTCCATATCTGGTTTCTTTGATGAGGCAGAGCCATGATTGAGCTCAATTAAATGGAGAGAACCATGTATTAAATATCCCAGTATTTTGGAGTATTCCTGGGGGAAAAAGAGCAAAGACTCTAAAACCAGTCAGTGCTTGAGTTTCTGGAGATAAAGGGGAATGGAATATGACACTTTCCCATCATATAAGATGTCAGATGCAATTTTCTTAGAACAAAAGTGTCTCACAATCTTTCAAAATCACAAGCTGTTATAGCATCTGTACAGATATTTGGAAATAAACATTTTGAAAAGCTGGTAATAAGTAATTTTCTTTATTAAAACAATGTATCTAAGCCGAGCGTGGTGGCACATGCCTGAAGTCACAGCACTTGGGAGGCAGAGGCAGGCGGATCTCTGTGAGTTCAAGGCCAGCCTGGTCTACATAGTGAGTTCTAGGACAGCTGGGGCTACCGGGAGACCTTGCTTCAAAAAGATAAACAAACAAACAAACAAACAAATAAACAAACAAACGATGCATCTAGAAAGCACAGCTAGCTGCACTCCTTTGTGAGGGCACTTGTACAAGTATTTGCATCATTCTCTTATTTATTAGGGTTTTTTTTTCATGTGTATGTGTGTGTATGCATGTTTGCACCTGTGTGGGCACATTTGCACATGTGTGTATAGAGGCCTAAAGTGGATGTCAAGTGTCTTCCCTGATTGCTCTCCACTTTATTTACTGAGGCAGAGTCTCTCCGTGAGTGAGGAGTTCACCAATTCTAGAAAGTCTAGCTAGCTTTGGCATTCCTGTCTCTGCCTCCTGAGTTGGGAGACAATGGGCCACCATGCCTGCCTTGCTTTGAAATGGACTCTGGGCATCCAAACTCCACATCCTCATACTTGCAAGATAAACCCTTTACCCTGGCTATCTCCCCAGTCCCTCCCCCAATCTCTCTTTAACACAAGGAATCAAAAGAACTGACAGTAAAGGAAGAGCATTAATTCAGCAACACAGAAATTGTTACCTGGTTCATCACAGACAAAAGTGGAGGTTGGAGGTTTTAGACATGTTAGCAAGCAAGGGTTTGGAAAACAATGCAAACTATATGTAGCATCAGAGGGATTCTTTTCATCCATATTGTCGCTTTGCTCCCCCCACCTCCTACCTATAAATACTTCTCTTAATAAGGCACAAGAGGCTCGTTGCACTTGGGAGCTTTCTTCTTTCTACTTTTTGGGACTGCTCGCCATGGCCATCCTTTCCTGGGAGCAGGGGAGGGTATGAGAGTGAGGCTTTTGTGAGATGCCTGATTCATTCATAGTAACTCTATTTGAAAATGTAAGTCCTTTTCCTAAGCTTTTTATTTGTCATCTCTAATTTTTATTTCTCAACTCCCCTTAAAATATGGGTTCTGAAACCTTGATCTAATTGAGTCAGATATGTGAGCACTCACAGTGGAGAGAAATGTCATCAAAGGAAACTCAATTCAGAGTTGTAAAATTAGCAAAATCCCCCTATACTGTCAAATACGAATGTAACTGCTCCCTGAATTATAAAGGGTAGCTTCATGATTTTGACAAAGGAAAAGACCTACAGACCCAGCATAATAAATACTCCTTTGTGTGATAAGAATATAATCGTATAAAATTGGGATTTATTTGGGTTCAAAGAAGAACAGAATATCTCCACTTGAGTTGGAATATTCCTAATTATTAAAACTGGATTGTCATGGCAGACAGACATGTCAGTAAGGTTTACTATTTCAACAGGTGAGCTCTGCTATAAGACTGGGAGGTTTTCTGTCCAAATGGATTCAGTGACATGCACAGAGGACAGAAGAAAGAAAGGCCTCTAGAACATTGCTCCTCCTTCTCTGAGCATCCAAGTTGACCTCAGAGGTCAGGATGGTTGGGCAGTTCTTAATATGTTAAATAGTAAAGTATCGTCAAGAATGTTTTAGTGGGAATCTGTTTAAACAGAAATGGTTTGTAATTATTTTGAAATTCTAGAGCTTTCATCATGAAATGACCATCATACCTAACTTGCATTTCTTGGAAGAATTTATAATGAATTGGCGAGATCAATCTCTCTTCAATAGTATAGCAATAGTGGATAAGATCACAGGGTCTGACACGAAATACACTTGCATAGTCCACCCTAACACTTATCTCTGTAGTAATTCCAATCCTCATTTCCTCAAATGTAAAATGGGGATAGTAATAAATATAACATGCCTAACATAAGGATTAAATTAGATAATTTAAAAAATATTTTATTGTTTTTATTTTATGTGTATGAGTGTATTGCCTGCATGTTTGTAAGTGCACTCATGCCATGCAATGCCCATGGAGGTCAGAAGAGAGCATTGAATTCCCCTGTAACTGGAGTTACAGCTGGTTGTTAGCTACCATGTGGGTGCTAGGAATCAAAACCAGCTCTTCTGCAAGAGCAGTCAGTGCGTTTAACTGCTGAACCATCTCTCCAGCCCCTAGATAATTTTGTATTGCCCGTTTTTGTTGTTGCATAAGTGATAGCCAATCTTAATAATATCTTTTACATTACCTTTATTCTGGGATAAATATAACATCGATAATTTTCTTTCAGCATATATATGTATGTATATATATATGTATATATATATACAGACATAAAGCCTATATCAGTATTTGAGTAACATGAATGTCACCCAGTAGTGTCACCTAGGTAAAACTCTATAGATCCCAAATAATTGCTAGTTATATGCATTGTAACTTTATCTCATCCTTTTCAACCTGGAGCCACCATCTTATCTGTCTACCTAAAATCACCAAACTTCCTTTTGCTTCTTGTTTCTTTATATCTCTTTTCAATATGATTTCAAAAGAAAGGAAGTTAAGGAAACCTAGGGTTAGTATGACTCTCAAGGTGAGTCATTTTGAAAGCAACTAATAATGGAGTCACTTTTTTACTTCTAAGCAGTTAGAAGTACCTCATAAGAAACATGGTGCATGCATTCTTGATGTGTCAAGACACTGCACGTAGGAGAAATTCAAACTCTTCTAGGAGAGGGGAAAATAGTTTCAAATGGAATCAGTAGTTGCTTACCAGTAGCTAAGCCCATTTCTCTACTCCAGACACTGTGTCTCAGTGAGGCCCTTGTCTGTATGTAGGAATTTGTATACCTGTGTCTTCTTCCTCTCATGTTTGTATCTAGGCTAGAATGTTCTTGAGGCCAGATGCAGATTCATTTCCCTTAGACCTACTACAATACCTTTCTGAAGAAGCCCTCAGTAAACCTTGCAGGCTGAGAGGCATTATATCAAAGGGAGATATAACAGGAGCTGGGGGAGCAGCTAGTGATTTTATACTCTGATAGAATTTACTCACCACGGTTATTTTTCACTTCTTTACATAACAGACCATTCAGGCCTTTTGCAGAACACCAAAAATCATTTTTTTCTGCTTGGTTAATGTTAACATACTTCCAAATGTGACTGGATGAATATTTTTCTCTCTACTTCTCTCTGGATCACTGATTACAGTCTTTTTACATCCTCAGTTACATACCATAACTGAGAATCAGTGATTTGAGGTCCTTAAGATTACTCCATTTATCACAAAAAGCAGCAGCAACACATGTGGATTAAAAGGTTCAGCACAAAGCAGAAGTCATGGACAATTTACCACATTACATATTTTTAGCCTGATAATTTTTTAGTTGCAATCAAGGGCCAAAACAAATTCAGCACAAATAGCTTTTGGTTTCCAAGTCAAAAAAGGATTCTGACCAACCTTTGATTTCTTGGACCTCAATGCCAGCCTTTTTAACTGATCGATGTTCCATTTCTGTAACACAGTACAGCAAGGAGAGAGACAAATCAGAATCCTCTAAAGAACATTTGAAAAGTTAAGTTTGATAACAGTTTTACTCACTAGAAAATATTTCCTAAGCCTTATTAGGAATCAAGTTCTTGATCCCAGATAAAATCTCCTAGGGTAAACTATAATATTTCTAATACCTTTATATTTAGAATGGGATTGTCCTCTTGGAGTTTTTAATATTGCACTGTTTCTGAAATATCAAGTAGTTCTATTTTTACATGGCCAACAACTTGTTCTGCCATGTTGGATTATAGGCTTCTATGAATTTGACTAGACACTGGAATGCAAACACAGACACACTTGTTACTAGGCTCCCATGGCCATCTAACTGGGCCAGAAGTTCCTTTTTCCAGGGTTATTACACAGAAAGATTTTTATCTTGAAATTGTATGCTACAATGTGCTGCTTGTTCATCAGGGCTTGTATCAAAGCCACTTAGGAAGACATACTCACTATCATTCCTATTATCCTATAGATTTCGAGAAAGGACTGGCCATCTGTACTTTCAAAGTCCTCTCCACATAACAAAGATACATTTTTTTGTTGTTGTTGAATATTAAGCACTGGGTGGTATAAATGGTCTTAGACTAGAATCTTAGTGAGATAAAAAGCCGTATTCCTATCTAAGGGAGATATATTGGCCATATTTCTCAAGGTTTTTTTTTTTCCATATTTAAAGATGTTTAGTTTGTTGTTGTTGTCCTAAAAATCCTAGCACAGTCAGACGAGGATTATCCATCTATCTTTTCTTTGTCTACCCATGCCTTTAGGATCCTCTTTGAAAATCCAAGTGGTGTAATCAATGTTTGCAGGGGAAATCTAAAGTAACTTCTGTGGGAAGAATACTTCAGAGACTCTTTGAAAAATTTCTCTGTCAACCTAACTGGATTAAGAAGTGCCTAGGAGATCAGCAAGGCATACCTCTAGGTGTGTCTGGAGTGTGTTTCCAGATATACTTATATCCGGAGGACTCTGGCTTAATAATGGATTAATTCCTTGATGGAATTAATATGATGACAATACTAGGTGATGATAAGCAAGGACTCAGAAGACACAGGTATGTGGGAACATGTCCCTGGAGACTGTGCTTTATCCTGGCCCATTCCTGTGCCTTTTTCTTTCTCTGCTTCCTGGCCCCAAGTTCCCTAGTGCCACATGTTCCTTCTGCCATGATCTTCTCCCAGGGAACCAGGGGCTGAACCCTCTGAAATCATGGGGCAAAATAAGTTGTCTTCTTATGAGTATTAACCTGTACAACATAAAAAAATATTGGCACCTGTGTGCACTCTAATTGGGTTCTTATTTCAAAAGGGTAAAAGTTACTCAGAGGATAATGTTGAATGCAGCAGTGACCAAACAGGGATACTAGACTATCTGATTAGTTTATATACTCCTTTTCAGTCACTTGTTTTCTTTCCTTGCTATGACTTGTATTTATCTTGCTATAATTAACAACATTTTCTTCATCAAGTTTTCATGTCCTTATTAGTTCTTTACCTAATATTTCTACCTGTTGCAGCTCTTGAAGCTTCAAACATATTTTTCTCAATCCCTTTACTTATCATCACTCTCTCTTGTTGGTTACATATTGCCACACAATTCTGAATATTGATGTTTGTACCCAAGCAAACACTTAGTGCACTTCAACTTAGAAAATTTGTGATTTATAGCCTGAAACCAGGGGCTAGGCTAGCAGACTTTTAATGGTGTCCAAGTTGAAATTAGAAAAACCTCAACACTATCATACTAACTAGCTAGATTTTGACAGAGAAGGTCTATTTCCTGACAAAATTCTGAATTAAATGAAAATAGGGCAATTCAGTATTTGGGGGAAAAGTATCAAGTCATTCTGTTGGGATAACATGGGTCTGACAAGGGCGGTGCTGCTGTCCCTAGATGCTCAGCAGCTAAGGGAGCTAAAGAGCCATGCGGGGAGTGATGTCTCATGGCAACAAGTCAACTCTCTGCTTTGCCAAAGTCATTTCTTTCTTCTGGAAGCAAACTGGAATTAACACTGGCTTTTAACGTAACAGACATTATTTCAGACATCAAGTATTTCCTGTGGAGCATCTCTGGAAACGGGGATAACCGCCAGGAAAAAGTAAGTCTCTTTCCACATTTTAAAAATAATTTTAATTCCTGAGATGGATAACAAATAGACAAATAGTCTCAGTCTCTCTCTTTCCCCCTCTTTCTCCTTTCCTTTATAATATAGGCAACAGAAACCAAAGATACTAGACAAATGCTTTACCACTGAATCCCATCCCCGACTCAAATAATTCTTTGTAATAACTTCTTAATATCTTAAAAAGTTTTGATTCATTTTTATTTTATGTATATGAGTGTTTTGCCTGCATGTAAGCATACCACATGTGTGCAATGCTGCAAGGGCCAGAAGATGGTATTGAATCCCTTGGATCTGGAGGTATGGGTGGTTGTTAGCCACCATGTAGGTCCTGGGAACTGAACCTGGGTCCTCTGCCAGAGCAACCACGGCTCTTAATCTCTGAAACACTGCCATTCCAGCTTTCGAATACCTTGATTTCCTATTCCCATCATTAAAAAGAGAAGGAAAGGTTTTTTTCTTCACATGCTTTTAAACAACAAAACATGAGAAATATAGACAATAATAATACTATAAAAGCAGCAAACAAACAAAACCCCAACATACTTTCCGTCAAGGTGAACTTCCACACGGTGTTTGTGTGAGCATCTCCAATGTACACAGTCCCATCTTCGGATGCAACAATATCGTGAGGCATATCAAAATGCTGCCAAGACATAAAGGCATCCATTATGGCAGTGAGACTTTGCTTAAATCTTTAATACATGGGCAGAAAAACAAGGCAAGGCATGTAACTCAAGCAAAAGTAACCTTACTTCTCACAATCCTAGCCAAAGTGAGTCATTCATCCATCCATTCACTTGTGTCTGACTGCTGGGCATAATTCTGAGCACTGAGAAATGCTAAGGGGTCCTTATCACTCACTTGTAAATCTTTTAAAAAGTAAAAATTCATAAGCAGATTAGTTTTCCAGGGCTGTTTTTTTTGGTGTTTTATGACTTAATTTATATTTGTTTTTATGTTTCTACTTTAAAAATACTAAATTTGTTCTTTGATATTTTTGTGCATATATACAATGTGTTCTGATTACTCTCATCCCCAAGCATCTTATCTCCCTCTTCCTCCTAACAAACCTCTCTTTTCCCTACAGGGCCCCTTTCCACATTCATGTGTTTGTTTTGTTTTGAGACCTACTGAGTTTAACCAAGGCCATCTGTGTGACTGTGGGTTTGGAACTCTACACTGGAGCCTGGTGGGCTTACCAGTGATTACATAACTGGTGGCAGTGACCTCTCATCTTCCAGAATCAGTAGTTACTAGTTCAGTGCAGGGCAGTGGGGAGGGCTCCTTCAGCTCCTCCCTCACTCATGGTTGACTGCTGACAAGCTCACTCTGCAGGATCAGTATAGGCCGAAGCACGGTTGCACTGAGTTCATGAGCAGAATGGCCATAGCATGCCTAGAAGATGGCTTTTCTCAGTCCTTCCTGTGTCCAGCTCCTACATTCTTTCTGGACTCCTCTGCAAAGTCCTCTGAGCCTTAGAATGGTGGCCTAAAGTTCCTATTTAGGGCTCCGATTTTAATGTGATTACATATTGCTTTTGAGGTGAAATACTTTCAGGGAAAACTATTTATGGACTACAAATAGAAATGCAAAGAAAGGGATGAACTACAGATTCCATCACGTATTTACTTTGTTTTGATTCAAATACCATAATTTTTAAAAAATTTTATTTATTTTTCAATTTATGTGGATGCGTGTATTGCCTGCAAGTAGGTAAATGCACCCGTGTCATGCAATGCCGGTGGAGGTCAGAAGAGGCTGTCGGATCCCCTGGGACTGGAGTTACGGACAGTTGTTAGCTGCCATGTGGATGCTGGGATTCAAACCTGGGTCTTCTGCAATAACAACCAGTGTTCTTAACTGCTGAGCCATCTCTCCAGCCCCTCAAATACCATAACTTTTTCTAAAAGGTACACTGAGGAAGAGCCAGATCCCCCTTCTGCACTGAGTATATCCTTAAGATGTAGTATAAAACCAGCAATGAAATTTGATGAAACCCAAGCTGTCATCTTCTTAAAGACAAATGTATAAAATTTGAGGGATTTAAAAAGTACTTTAAAAAAATCTAGTAAACTTTCTGTCCTAACAAACAATATAAGAATTATGACATCAATACATTGTTCAGTGGCTTTTGACAGTTGCATTTTGATCTAAGTAAAACCAATAAATCTTTCTGTATTTCGAACAATAAGCCTCCTTTGAGCACTTTGGTGGGCTGAGCTTTCTAAAGCTGATGTATCCCAGGCATATTCTACAGTGTATGTGGCTACTATGACTGTTCTATAATTATGCTGAGATGCAGTGCACTGGGAACACAAAAGCCTATGGGAATACTCAGCCGTAGTCTGTGTGTATAGGAAAGCACTGATAAAGTATAGAGTGGCAAGCCATTTGTGAAGCCCCAAGGAGCTTTTAACTTCTTTACAATTTTATTTATTATTATTTATTCTTTGAACTTTCATATATATACATATATATTTGCCCCCCCCCCCTTTTTAAAGACTGGGTCTTCCTGTAGCCCCGGCTGTTCTAAAACTTCCTATTATATAGACCAAGCTGGCCTCAATCTCACAGAGATCTGCCTGCCTCTGCCTCCTGAGTGCTGGGATTAAAGGCGTGTGCCACCACATCCGACTTATATAAAATATTTTAACCATATCCAGTTTCTCAAGCCTTCCTTCCACCTCCCCCTCCCCTCTACCCAAAATATCAATACATTTCCATTCCTGTTTCAAGTCCATTTTTAAAAAATAAGCCATTGAGTCCAATTAATGCTGCTGAAATGTACATGGCTGTGAGGTTATCCACTGGCATATGGGGAACCTACCAGTGGCCAGCCCTCAGAGAAAAGAGATTCTCCTTCGTGTAGCAGCCATCACTGTCACTAGCTCCTTGGTGAAGGGAGAGGCCTCAGGACCCTCTCTGCCTCCATGCTGGAATTTTTAACTGGCTTGATCTTGTGCAGGCCAAGTGTGGATAACTACATATTCTGTGAGTTCATGTGTGCATCAGCCATGCCTATCTAGAGGCAACATTTCACAGCACTTCTCCCCATACTCAAGCTTTTCACTTCTTACCTAACCAAGTCTTTAGAACTTGAATAAATCCCACAAAGTGCTATTTTTAATTATTGCTGCTTCATAAAATAAATAATAATAAAAATGTTAACATTAAAAAAGAACAAAATTTCTGCTGAGGTGAAGAGAAGTATAAAAACATATTTAATATGTGGTATCTTCACTACTTGGAAGGAACCAGGAAAATAATCCGATGCCAGGCCCACGTGGTGACACATGCCTTTAGTCCCCACACTCAGGAGGCAGAGGCAAGCAGATCTTTGTGAGTTCAAGGCCAGCCTGGTCTACATAGTAAGTTCCAGGTCAGCTGGGGCTACAAGGAGACCCTGTCTCAAAAAGACCATCCCCCCAAAAAAACCCTGTCCATCCATTCATCTGTCTAGCCCCCAACCCATCCATCCATCCATCCATCCATCCATCCATCCATAAATCAATGTATATATTTTGGCATACCAATTTAAACTTGCCATCATATATGCAAGAACTTAGCACAGCTAATTTTCATCTGAAAATATTGATGGTCTAGGAAAAGACAAAGGTGTTTATTTTAAAGAAAATATAATATACTTCCATCAACTTAGCTAGGAAAGTTATATGAATAAAATCAAGTACAAATTGAATGTCAATATTAATATTTTAGTTTTATTTTTAGAAAAATTGAAATCTACATAATGTATATGAGTACCTTGCGTACTGGCTTGAAGACACCTATAATTTCCCCACTGGAAAAGTTCATCACAAATCCTTGTACAGGTTCTTGATCCCCAAAGTAAGGCTTCCCATTTACTGCAAAGAGCAAGCCTATAACAATAGACATAGTCTTTTTAAAAAGTGCAAATTAAGATTGACTTTGAAATATAAGCAATAAGCCTTAGCAAACACTATATAGGGTTAATCTGGTCCTTACAATTGCCAACCAAAATTTTAAAAATCAAAATACTTAGCAAACAGGATATCCTGAGTTACCAGTTCTGGGGCAAACAGGTTAGAAGACTAACCTCACTGTAAAAAGAAAATCAAATTGGGCCAGGTGTGGTGGCACATGCCTTTCTTCCCAGCACTCAGCAGGCAGAGGCAAAGGCAGGCCATCCTGGTCTACATAGTGAGTTCTGGGGCAGCAGGGGCTCTCCTTGTCTCAAAAAAAAAAAAAGGCAAGAGTAGTTAGCACTTAATAGTTCTAGACAGGGAACCAGAATAAGGTCAGAACAGGGCAAATTTCAAATGTCATATCAGAGTCCATTGGAATTTCTTGATGAGAGCTTCCAAAGGCATCCCTAGTGAACAGGTAGGGAGGGTTTTCCAGCTTTCCTGCAGCTCTATTGGCTTTGATGAAAGTATAGCTCCTAGAGTTTATTGTTGGTTTCCTCTTACAAGACATTTATTTTTTCCAGTATTTCCATTTCATTGCAAGTGCTTTCTTCCTCATGGAGTTGCTTGTACCATCATCTCCTGTGTAGATGTTTGTTTCATCTGCCCTGTCTATATGTTTTCATGGAAGAATTTGATATGTTTACTGTCAAGGTGGTTATTTGGAAATAAATAAATGTCTTTAAAAAAAGGAAAAAAATCAAATTTGAAGATCTGTTCCACTTAGGAAGCCAGCAGAAATCAGGCTGCACAGTAATTGATGTAAACATGTATTGGTTTATAGATTTAGATATCATAGTGCTCCTTCTGTAGGAATGGGGAAAATTCAGGTTATTAAAGCCAGTCACTTTAGAGCACCAGATAATTTTTTGAAAAGTATGTGCATATGCTGTTGCTGCAACAAAATAAATAGAAATCCACAAAGAAAGTAATGAAGTTGTAGTAAAAATAGAAAAAACAATCTGATTTTAGACAACTAGAGCTTGAAAATATGAGATGCATATTTCAGACTAGTAAAGACATACTGTCATCAAGAAAAGATTAAACATTTCCATATGAATGTCAGCTTTATAGTCACCTTATATTTTTGTATAGTAACATGTCTCTGAAATAACTGAACAGAAATAGTGATGTTTTAAACAAATAATTCAGAAGTTTGAACACTATATTTTCAAAGAACACATTAAAGAGCACACAGTGGGGCAGCGGTGAGTACTAGCTCAGTGGTAGAGTGATGCAAAACTACAAAGAGTGCATACAATGCTGAACGTATTAAAATATTTTCATCTTTCTTTAAAGGACTGTAGAGTTTTTTTAGACTATATTTTCATAAAAGAATCAGCACTATAAGCATCAATTGCGATTACGGAATACTGTGAAGGAAACTGTCTTTTGCTTAGAGTCTGTTTTTAACCAGAGTTCCTACCTTTTTCTAGGTTTTTTACATTATATCCATTTATTCACCTCCTTTATTAACTGAATGTGCCTGAAAAATTAATTCCTTGAACGTGAAATAAAACCAACTATAAAATTTGTTGACAGTAATGAGGGCCTTTTACTACTTATTCCTCAAGGAAGGCAAACTTGCTCCCTATCTGGTCACCCGAGTCCTTTGTTTCATGTCTTAACGGTGTACCTGCTCAACTGAGGATTATAGCTAATGGCATGCTAAGATAAGGCTAGACATACTTCATGAACTATTTGAATATTTGTATAAAGTTTTACATAAAATATTGAATTGTTTAGCACCTATCCAAAGAAATCTTATAGTAATTTTGTTGTAATGTGAATTTTGCATATTTATAAGTTTGGATTATTTTTCAAAAATAAAAAATTTAAAGCTATTAAAATCTATATGAAAATGTGAAAGAAGTAAAGATTTTATTGATTGTCTCTCCTGGAATTTGGATATAAACCACCATCACTTTACATATTTGTCCTTTTTTTTTAAGTTGGCCAGCACTTTTTGAAGAATTATGAAACAGAAGTATTTTGAATGCTGATTCTGTCAGGCATATACCATCTGTTGATGGTGTGTGAAGGAAATATTAATCATGTAATAACTAGAGCAGATGATCATAATTAAGGACGAATCAATGTTTGGGAACATTTTTAAACCCAATACAAACATCTGTTAAATCCTTTTGGTTTCTTCATCATTTCTGGAAAAGGAATAGTGATGTTTGACTTAAAATGATTTATAATGCAGAACAATTTTAAGATACTTCAAGATTTTATATATAAAGCTTCAATGCATTAGTAAGAAAAAGTTTATTAAAAAGCATATGAAGATAAGGCAAATGTTAAAGGCAGAATATAAAAAACACAGAATAAAAGATGAAATACCTGGTATATATGAAATTGCAAATATATTTCTTCCAAATGATGCATGTTTAATCTCTCTTACAAATTCTTTGGTGTCAGTTTTGAAACATTGGATCCGACCGTTTTCCCTGTCTGCCACACACAATTGGTTCAAATGAGGCACAAGGGCCAAGCTGTGAGGAACACTGAACTGGCCTGGCTTAGGACTGCTCCCAGATACTTCTACAAAACAAAGAAAACCTTCAGATATACCATTTATGAAGCCTTCCAAAGTCTGACCCTAACAGTTTTGTAACTTTCCAAATTCATGATAGGAAACCTTTAACATCTACTACCCATAGACACATTACAGATTTTCTATTTGGACTAAGTTTTTAGTGGAAGCATTATTTTCTCTTGTAAGGTCGGTCTCTCTCTCTCTCTCTCTCTCTCTCTCTCTCTCTCTCTCTCTCTCTCTC